TTATATTATCTTAGTTATACTGACACATAACTTTCTCTGCGACAAACGCACTGTAAGACGCATCTATTGACACAGTCTTGAAGTCACACGTGAGTTTTGAAGTCGTCGTGGCCTAAACGATAAGACGTCCGGTGCATTCATGTTGAAGCGATGCACCGGTGTTCGAATCCCGTAGGCGGGTACCAATTTTTCTAATGAAATACGTACTCAACAAATGTTCGCGATTGACTTCCACGGTGAAGGAATAACATCGTGTAATAAAAGTGAAACCCGCAAAATTATAATTTGCGTAATTACTGGTGGTAGGACACTTGTAAGTCCGCGCGGGTAGGTACCACCGCCCTGCCTATTTCTGCCGTGAAGCAGTAATACGTTTCGGTTTGAAGGGTGGGGCAGCCGTTGTAACTATACTAAGATCTTAGAACTTATATCTCAAGGTGGGTGGCGCATTTACGTTGTAGATTTCTATGGGCTCCAGTAACCACTTAACACCAGGTGGGCTCGTCCACCCATCTAAGCAATAAAAAAAAACAGTAGTCTAACACGTACGGATGTACGGTCCTAAAACTCCTAAATCATAACCCTTCCTTGTTTTGTCCGTAATCGGGTAAACTCTCAAACACCCCCAGTATCTTCCCCGAAAATAACAGCACGAAATGTATTGTACAAATAAATGTGAGAGCGTTGTACAAACATCGCTCAATAAAGATGTTTGCTGAGACAGAACTAAACGTCCACCGAGAAGCGTCCTTACCAGACTGTGTGCGTTCTGCGACACTTACCTGCAACGGAAATATCCACAAATTAAATTCAAATAAACTAAATAACGTATTAGTATAAACGTATAAGCTAGTCCATCACAACAAGTGCGGTTAGTACGCCATACCGACACACCAATGTTATTATATTAATAATGTACTTACATTCACCTTCACCACAATGAGCGTTCAATTATTAAGCTTCAACAGACAAGACAGCGGTTCGCGGAGGGTAATGCACAGCACACATCCCTTGCTATCAATACCAAACACTAAACAGGTCGCTAATGAGTAATCTCAACCACGCTTTATTATTAAGCAGTGAATACTCGTATAAGCAGACTAGCAAGACGTTAATTCAAGCATCACTCATCTCATTACATTACTTCAATATCTAAATGTGAAATGTTTTTATTCAAGTAAGCCTTCGTTACGACTTTACAGCTGATGTACTCTCCTCCTAATGTACGTAAATATATTAATTACACAAACTTTACAAAATACTATTCAATCAGCACACACGAGTGCAACACGGATAACTTGAATCTGTCTGTCTGTCTGGACTGTCCATGTACGAAAGTGACACGTGCCTGGGCAATAAAGATGAACTCGCCCTTACAAAGTAAACCACGGAATTATCTCAAGCAGTTATTCAGATCGCTCCCTATGGAACATACAACATCGTATGTTCAAGTACGCCGAGCCCTCTTCTTGGGCCCAGAGGTTCCTAAAGATCCGCAAGTTCTTCGATCTTCTGTGTCAGTATGGAAGTTAAACAATACATAAATACAAGTATCATAGATTTAACACAAATATTTCAAATATAATACAATAAAAGTGAATTTCAGTTTAAAAACAAGTATAAGTAGTAAGGTGAGCATATTTGAAGTTTCACTATCACAAAAATGTAGCAACAATACGAACTGTTCAGCAACTAACGGCCTGTGCATGGCGGATCCGAGACGGAGCAGTCTAGTAATGAGCAGAGAGTGGCGCGTCCTAGATATTCCAGCGAGTGACGTCACACAACGCCTCATTCTTTGTTATTCTGGTTTTCATCTTTAACTTGAGACCACTACTACTGGACGCTTCGCATTTATCCCAAGCATTCTTTTTCAGGATATAGTTGCATCATTTAGATCTAAGAGTTTCTTGTTTAGATTAGACAAATAAATGTATGAAATCGGCAGTCCACCGGTTAAATGGACATTCAAAAGAAATCAAGTACCCGTGCACTTGGAACATATCGGATTTCGTTCTACTGATGACTTGTTATATACTAAGATCGTATCTAGTAGACCAGCCAATTTATCAATACGAGCTAAGGAAAGTATCGACTCTAACGTATCTCTACCGAATGTACCTACATGTGTACGGGGAGGGTGATCAGAGGCAGCAGCACGCAGCAACATGAGGACGCTGAGGGCGCTCCCGCTTCTTTTGACTCAAAGCCATTTAACAAAACGATAAGTTAGGCGGGGGAACTAAGGTTTACCAGTAACGCAAGCGGTGTCCCCGGTAACGTGTAGAGGAGACCGCGAAAACAGCATCGAAATTCCGAGGACGGATCTACCGGGCAACATGGTTAGCAGACTTAGAAGTTTGTCTACGTGGGGAGCACTGCTGCCCGAGTGTATACACATTTGTGTTCTCGTGGTAGTGCACACAGAGCGGCGGCCGGAGCGACGCACGGCGACGGCGCGGTCAGAACAAAGGCAGTGACGCGCGACACCGCCCTGATTCTTTCACATGAATTATTATTTAAATACACCAAGCGACGCTTTGAACTAAGTTTAATGAGGTCTTAATATATATTTGTAGTTAAGTTGAGAAATTTATATTTTCCGAAGTTTCCTCCTCGACTTCGTATAAATTGTAACCAGAGCTTCCAATTGAATCTACCTGTTAGCTTTTGGTGGCAAATTGACAAACTTTTCAAGCGATGTGTGCTTTAAAATGGACGTGCGCAGTTACGGTGTTGCAGGCAGCGGCCCTGGCACTGTCGATGGTACATTCGATCTGCAAGTCACCGTTCTGCAGCCTCTCACATTGGCAGATCAATCACCAGGAGAAATAACGTCAGTCAGTTCATAGTCCCGATTTATGTTGTCATCTTGTTTTGTAGACCATTAACAATAGAGCGTCCATTTGTAGTTAAAGATAATCTATTTTATGTGGAGCACATTACCGCGCTTTGTCTTCTCACTGGCTGCGGTTACTGCAGCAGTTTGCAGTGTGAACTAGCAGTAGGTTGGCACAAACAGCAGCAGTTGCAGTTAGCAATGTCAACCTTGTTTAAGCGGGTCTCAGTTAAAAAAATTTGTTTGTAATAAAACCAGTATAAATTATGAATCCCGTCAGCAGCACTCGAAGTTCGGGACACAGGTTTTTGGTAACAGTTCTTATATTTTCTGTAATCTGCACTCGGTTTGAGTGGATGGTGAATAAAGTTTAAGTAACGTTTAGAGTTGTGTCGGCGGCGCGGGGCCGGTCTTCATGCTGCGTGTAGTGCACAACGTACAGCTTGACTCGAGAGTTTCATGAAAAGTTTGTTTAATGTGTGTTCCTCTGAACGCGTACATCAAGGGCACTGTCTCGGACTTCAGCAAACAAGATCTGGGGAATTGAACCGACACACTTTGCGGTTTGTGGAAATGTTGATCGTGTAATGAGAGTCCGTGTTGGAGTGGCTCGGTGTGTCCCCGCCGCCCGCGCTCACTGCTGATTCATTAACTTCATTGTCGATGACCAGGTATTGAACATTTCTAGTTATAATGATAGTGTCCGCTGGACGCGTGGACGTGTTGTGTGATACGTCCACATACGTTTTACAATCGTCTTAAAAACAACGCTCGAGACTCCCTCGCCTCACGCCGCCTGTTGGCTGCTGGCGTCAAGGGCACTTGTATGGCACACGCATGTGGGGCCGGTGTAGCAGACTACCCTAAATTCCACACATTTGGTCCAGCATTAATAAAAAAGCTTAGAAAATAAATTTTACAATTTTTAAGTATTTTAAGAACATTTAATGTCGAATTAATAATTCAGAGAATAATTACATCAGAGAAAATCGAAAATTGGTTAATATATTTATTGGCCATTATTTTATCATTCTCTATTATATAAATCTAGCACTGTTAGTGTTAGTAAACCCATCACCCATGCAACAAACAATTAGCTTAGTAGCGCAACCTCGCGGCGGCGGCACCGCGCGGCACAGCACGGCACCGCGCGGCACAGCACGGCACCGCGCGGCACAGCACGGCACCGCACGGCACAGCACCGCACGGCACCGCACGGCACAGCACCACACAGCACCGCACAGCACCGCACCGCACCGCACCGCACGGCACCGCGGTGTTAGTCAATGAAACAAGCTGTTAGTGCAATCCATTTATTGTACAATCACAAACATTTACAACAACCACACACAATGTCTGTAAATATCATATGGAGGCAATGGACACATGGTAATTCAAATTTTACATTACGAAACTCGCCCAACTAACATTTTAGTGTTTTAGACTGAAAACGAGCCTCTTCGTCAAGGGTCTTATGTACATACATACATACATACATACATATACAATAATTGGACGTTCATCAATTGAGGCTCGCAAGGGACGGGACAGGGTAGGGCAGGGCAGGGCAGGGCAGGGCAGGGCAGGGCAGGGCAGGGCAGGGCAGGGCAGGGCAGGGGCGGAGATATTTACCGGGAGATAACTCTGAATGAGTCCAATGGCTCCGACAATACGGACGGGACTCACTGACCCAGAACAAGAATAAAAGATAATGGCGACACGGCAGCTGTTCCGAAAGAACATCACAAGGGACATATTCATTTCTAAATAAAGGTATGAAGTTTGGACTTTCAAAAGTCCTGACTAGATCATAGATAATGAATATGTATATCATAGAAGTCGGGCCAAGTGTTCTGGTTAGCCCTTAGAGTCTGTCATCTCTGTACACTAGCACTGCACAGGGTGCAGGCTCGCCGATCATTACTGCTCCAGAGTATGTCTCAATTGTTGAGGTTTATCGTAATGCATGAAAATTCCAGGTAGGAGAGTTTGTCTGTACGAACTATATATACATATATATATTTATGACATCGTGTTTGTACATTTTTGAAACAATTGAGCAAATGTTGGGGCACGGACAGGCGGCGGGACAGGCGGCGGGACTGCAGTGCAGTGAAGTTGCAGCTAGCAACATGGAGCCGAGGGGGCGGGGGGCGCTCACCCGGGGGGTTGGGGGCGGCGGGCAGCAGGTCGTCCCAGTGCGCGCGCAGGGCGAGGTGGCGCAGCGCGAGGCGCGGACACACGGGGTGCGCGGCCGCCACGCACTCGCGCTCCAGGTTGTTGTAGTTCTCGATCACGTCACGCACCCAGCTCGAGCGCTCCTGGACCGCGCGCTACCGCACACAACAACAACACACCGGTCAACATACATACACGGGCGGACACTCGAGATGCAGTCACCACTACCAGCGGATTCTGTAGTGACACGCTCAAATGTTATCATATCTAACTATATAATGTATCTTATTCTCTTAGAATTAGCACTAAAATGTTTGGGATCAGTATCGGTGGATAAAACTAACCCTAATCTGCAGACTGTCAAGTCCCACATACCCCGCGTGCCTTTGATTGCCTAGTGTTTAAGATATATAGCAGGGATAGGGTGGTGGAGGGTTACCGCGACGTTGGCGCGCACGGCGGCGGCCTGCGGCGGCGGCAGGTCGGCGGCGATGTTGAGGCGCGTGCGGGTCTCGTGCACCCAGCTCGTGACGTCATCCAGCCGCGCGCTGTACTTGCTCACCGCCGACAGCTTGCTGGTGATGAACTCGCGGTGCGCGCCCAGGCTGGCCTGCGTCTGAGTGCAACCAACGGATTACTGTCGCGACCACTTACAATCGGGTAAACCGTAAGATTGTTTACTTCCGATGATAGTAATGAACATGATTAGGTACATTTGAAAAATCTGTTACAATTATCTATATAAATACATATACATATATACGGAAGTGGTTTCAAAAAAATAGCAAGGGTCAGAGACGTCACTCTCAGGTCACGCTGACGTCGCCACCCGCAGGCTGCGTGAGCTGAGTGAACCACGCGTCGGGCCCAGCAGCCGCTGGTTCGTAATGCGTACAGTGTTCGCGAGTTCAGGAAATACTCGTATTTGAGACTTGTTTTTTGTGTTCTAAATCATTAAATATTTTAGGAAATAAAGGATATTTGTTGATGATTGCGATAAGAACACTAGAGTATCGACGGACGCGTCGTGCGGCGTGATGCTGTATTAAGCACACGAAGAGAGGCCCTGAAACACTGGACGTCGGCTCGAGGACCGCAGCAGCTTGCAGTCTCCTTGTGTGCGTGTGTGTGTGCGAGTGTCGTCGATGGATCAGTCAGTTAGCCACAACACTCAAATTCAAATTCAAATTCAAAATCATTTATTTCAACTTAGATGTCAGTATGACACACTTGTTGAATGTCAAAATACAAATAACAATGTTAAGTCTACCACCGGTTCCAAAAAAAGCCACAGTCCTGAGAAGAACCGGCGAAACAAACTCAGCGGGCTTTTTTTTTTGTTTACTACATACTACTGTTACTACATACTATTATTACTACTAGTGGTAAGGCTCATTGAACAACGTTCACGTTGAGATGTCTACAGGCTCCGGTAACCACTTAACACGAAGTAGGACGCGAGCGCGTTCACCCGTTTGTATCAGTGCAATAAAAAAGATGTGTGGTGTCATGGGACACCGGATAGGAATGAAGTTCCTTATTATAAAAATATTAATTTAAAGTTCTATTCGAGGTATAAAAAAAATAAAACTGGAGGTTTCGCAACAACCCACGGTCATTCGGTAACGTGCGAACTTATTGTGGTACACTTCATTCACGGTTGTTTGCATAAGAGTTAGTGTATTGCGCAAACGAACGCTCTGAGATCGTGCTCATTGAATGATAAAAAAATATGTTATTTTTTGTACGTTATTACAAAGTTAAGTCGTACACTGTGTGCATTACTAATAAAAATCTTACGTTACGGACGTTTTTCCCGGTTAGGGTACCCCTCCGCATCGTCCCATAAGGAACTTCGTTCCAAAAATAGAATGCATACCTTCTCGACTTCCTTGTAGAGGTTATCAGATTGTTCCCCGTGCTGGTCGCGGGGCGGGCGCCGCGCCGCCATCTCCTGCAGCAGCGCCGACAACTCCTCCTCGCGCGCCTGCACAGCGACACAACCCTGGACTCATAACGACTTCCACACGAAGATAATAGCTCGCATAAAGGTTTATTGGTGACGAGAGTTTCTACTAAAGTTTAACCGTCAATGGAAATCAAAATCATTAATCAGATGATTTTGATAACGGCCCGTTGGCGGTGCGGCTCGCAGCGCGGCCCCGCACGCCCCACGCGGATGTTCAGTCTAAGCGTCATCAGCCATACATCTGACACTCAATAGCGACGCTCGCACGGCTACACGTGCGGCGGTGCACGTGCTACGGAATGCTGCCGGTCCCGCCGTGTCTGCGCATCCACCGGGCCCAATGTACACTCCAACGTGCGGCCAACATTTTCGCACCGCAGCCAGAATGCGGATATAGTGTCGGCGTTAATGTTCAAATTTGCACGAGGACCGTTTCTCGACCGAGATAGATTTAAAAAAAACAAATTTCTAATCGAACGATTAAATCAGCGTCTGTTGCGTATTTCCCCTTGATAGTTAATAGTACGAATGCAGGCATTAACATCGTCCCATCGACAGGCTAGGAAAGTCGGCGGGGTTACTGGTGGTAGGACCTCTTGTGAGTCCGCACGGGTAGGTACCACCGCCCCGCCTATTTCAGCCGTGAAGCAGTAATGCGTTTCGGTTTGAAGGGTGGGGCAGCCGTCGTAACTATACTGAGACCTTAGAACTTAAATCTCAAGGTGCGTGGCGCATTTACGTTGTAGATGTCTATGGGCTCCAGTAACCACTTAACACCAGGTGGGCTGTGAGCTCGTCCACTCACCTAAGCAATAAAAAAATAAATAAAAAAGGGGTGCGGTAGGGAGGGCGGGGAGGGGCGGTCGCTACTCAATGGTCGCACATCAATCAGCTGCGCCGTTATCAGTTCGCAGCACGCGACCGAGTGTCGCGGCGACGCCATTGTGGACGCACTCCTCGTCGCGATCTCGGCCTGGGCCAGTGATACCCCCGACGAGCTCTTAACGATGTAACCTATCTTCTTCATATTTGTTTTACTTAATTAACAATTTACAATTTTATGGATCGCTGTGTTAATTTGAACTGTCTCTCCGGGCGACGGACTCTGCATTAAATATAAATGTATTGACGTAGAGTGTCGGTGCTATTCTTCCCTTCAAAAATAAATAACATCACGTACATTATGGTTTACTTCATGACAAACAACCAAATTATAAAACTACTAGCGGAGCCGGCCGACTTCGTAAAGCATAATACATCAAAGGAAAAACAATTTTGTTGTTGTTTTATTTAGTTCCGATCATTTTCATATTTATTCGCCTTTTAAACCTTCTCTGGACTTCTACAAATATTATAATTCAAGACTAAAATTAGCCAAATCGGTCCAGGCGTCCTCGAGTTTTAGCGAGACTAACGAACAGCAATTCATTTTTATATATATAAAGATCGATCGTTGTGAGGAGTGTAACTCTACCAATATTACATTAAGCCGATCTTATGTTATTGACCCTCTTTAATTGACGTCGTAACAAACAGTGTCGTCCGCCGCTGTGCTGTGCCGCGACACTACTATTGTTGTGGTCGACCGCGGGTGGCGGCACCACCACACCGCGGCACCGGGCGGCGTGGTGTGGTCCGCGGGCCGGTGCGGACGGGAGTACTTGCAGATCATCACATTTTTAAATGAACACGGTTTCACGAACGCTTACGGTTAAATTTTACGGATTGAATTAGGGACATTATTAAACAGTTTGCTAGAAATTACACAGATTATCGAAACACGCGCTTTTTGTAGTTTTTGTATTTCGATCGAATGTGCAATACCTGTAGTAACGATCACACTTACGTTTTATTTTCAATAAATTATACACTAGTCTCTGCAAATTGTCAGGAAATAAATTCTTAACATCAAGAAATGCGAATTAGCGATCACACGAGCCGAGCCGCAGTCGCGCAACAGTCGCGTCACACTCACTCACGGAAATGACGACCGACCTCTCGCCGAGCCCGCGCACCCAATATATCATATACTGGACTATAAACACTAAATTAAATTAATATTTACACCAAAAGCGGCTTTATATTAATCGGCAAAACACACAGATTCGTGTGTCGGGGGTCGGTCGTTGTCGCGTTCTGGAGTCGTAGTACAAACAAGAGATGGGACAGAAATATTTTCATGGATTCAGAAATAGACGCAAGACGTTCCAAGTGCTGGAGACTAGAGCCTCGACAATTCGTTGCATTCGTTTCCGTATTGCACCCAATTATATTTTACTAAGCATGTACTCCTTCGATATTGAACTGCCGATATTGAACTGCCGACATAGCCAACAACATAGTCCTAGTAGTTTTTTTAGTTAGATGCGGCACAGCACAGCACAGCACAGCACGCACGACGCCCTCCGGCGCTCGGTCCGCACTCGCAGTGGACACACTCCGCGAACAATATTAAACATTTATTTTTAGAAAATCCACAAAAAATTCAATTCATGTAATATGTAGCATGTACATAGATAGATCTATCTATACCAACTGATACGCTGTACGTGACTTTTGGATGTTTTACTTTTAGATCCAACGACAAACGAAATCAAAGCAATTACAACTTCTACATTTTACGTATTCGAAATTTGACATTTAGGTAATGGTCTGGCTGGGCCGAGCGGCGTGGCGGCCGCGCCAACATGCTCGGACACAGCTCGTAATGGAAACGTCCTCCTCATGAGGTCTCAACGAAGAAGGAAACGCTCACGTTGTGGTATCAGGGGCCACCCTGACACCCTGACACATGCCTTTCATTACGTTAGACCACCGCTCTGATCTGAGCTGACTAGTACCGCAGTTTACTGTTACAAACGTGTGTAACTGTAATGGTAACATAATATAATGAAGAACACCTTAAGATTCATGTACATAATGTTTTTGTATTCTTATAAATTTCCTCTTTTATTCTCTTATCAATAAACGTAATCTTTCCTAATATAATTAATGTATATATTTTTTTCACACTATAGCTCGTCAATAGCTAGTGAACAAAAAATCAATCTGTTGACAGACAGAAGAAAAATGGTAAACTGTTTATACCTATTTTTATATAGTGATACATCGTTCTAAACCTTCTGCTTAAGACGGTTTAGAACGATAATGTTCCCCCAGTACGGTCCTCGTGTTCTGTGTCATGAACATTGTCACTTGACGCGTCAGTCATTATTACTCGGAAGGCTCGCTACCGACACAATCTCGACGCGTCGTTGGAGACGGACCGCTCACTGAATTGTAACTCTTTTTTTTCTCCTACCTATGCTGATTGATAGCCTTGAGAGGCTATTTCAGCTTCGCCCCAACATGTAGGAGAGCTCATGGGGCTCAAACCGGAGTGTTGCTAATATTGGCCCTAGCAAGAGCAATGCTTCGCAGAATCTACCACCGGATCAGAAACGCGACCCACTGAGAAGATCCGGCGAGAAACTCAGTGGGCTCTATTGAACAAGTTCACAATAACATTAAAGCGTAGTGAGGTCGTTGTGCTCGGCCGGTGCCCGGAGCATACAACGATCAAACATCGCCCGACTGTACAGGCCAGCCTTGACGACTACGCATGGAATCCTTACAAGCAGAACATTAATTTGTCTGCTGTGCGCTACTGCACACACTCACTCACCGCACTGGGAACGTTGTAACGTCGTACATATTATATCTGTATACTCTTCTATGATCGGGATCTAGTACTTTAGACAATCTCAAAATATTTGCTGTTTATTTCAAAATTTGGTTGTGCGTTAAGCTTGCGCAGGCGCTGTGGAGCGCGGGAGAGGCAGTTGTGTTCTCAACAAAGTATCATTCGCACTATAGACCTCCAGGGATCAGGGATAGCGCGATGTATTAACTACAAATGCTCCTCAATGCGCTCGTTACTCTGATGAGTCTGCAGCTGGATCGATGCCTATCGAGGGTTTGTGTGTACACGTACGTGCCAAATCCTTTCGTGGTTTTTTTAGCCATCGATGATGCCCTCACATGTCCCAAGCCTAGTACAGAATAAGCAATCACTTAACGACAACGCTAGTGACGCGGCCTCCCGCTGCGTCCAACATCAGGGTGACTTCGATTGAGCATTTCACGGAATTTATCGGTCACCTGGGGCGTCTCTAGAAGCCCGCAGTAGACGAACGCAGAGGCTCCAGTTAGTGAGGTAGTACAGGGGATGAACTCTACTCCGATGGCGGCTGGTACGTGGTCAAAGAGATTTATTTATTTATTGCTTAGATGTGAGGACGACCTCACGGCTCATCTGGTTAGCGGAGTCCGTGGACATCTATAACGTGAATGCCGCCATACACCTTGTGACAATAATTCTGAGGTCTCAGTTTTAACAATCGGTACAACAGCTGCCTCACTCTTTAAGCCAAAACGCATTACTGCTTCACGATAGAAATAGGCAAGGTGGTGGTACCTGCTTGTGCAGACTTAAAAGTCGTCATACCACCAATAGAGATGATAAATAACTCCAAATTATTTTTTAGCGTATTCCCCATAAATTTTATGGTACAAAACACAGAGATGACCAAAGTTCCTTCATAGGTCTTGAGGTTCCAAGCGATCGGTGAAAACAGGACATGCATAATTATGTACAGTCAAGATGTGCGAACTCTGCCAGAGGTATGCGATATAATTTTCAATGATTCAGACTATTATTAATAAAGTTGCATTTTAGTAGGTCTCCTAGTCAGTTGTCGCCGGGTTCGAATGTAAATGTTACACGTCGAATTAAAATTAAAATTTGCAATGATGTAAAGTGCAGTACATACCTTGACGAGGGAGAGTCGGATGGAGAGGCTGGTGGCGTCGGAGGGGTTGGCGGTGGTGTCGTGCAGCAGGTCGCGCGCCAGCCGCACGGGGTCCCTCGCGCCGCGCCCCCCGCCCCGCGCCCCGCCCTCGCCCGCCGCGCACCCCCGCGCACCCCCCCATGCGCCGGTGAGCGCTGTCCACTGCGCCTGCACGTCGCGCGCCAGCGGCCGCCGACGCGCCCGCCACCAGCCGCCCCGCGCGCCGCGCCGCCTCCACGCACCCGCCGCGCGCCGACATCTGCCGACAAGCCACTCGCTAGGCCGGCCCACAACAACTGCCCGCTGTGTCCCGGGGCTCACCTGGTTCTCCAGGTCCCGCAGTATCTGCCTGGCGTCCTTGTCGGGCGTGGCGGGGTCGTCCGCCCTGCGCAGGGCCCGCTCCGCAGAGTCCAGCCAGCTCGACGCTCTTCCAGGGAGCGGTACAGCGACGTCCACGTCTCCTGGCACGACTTCCACCTGCGCACCACCCCGCGCCAACTGAAGGGACTCGTCAATACAGCTTATCGTAAAACGTTTTGGTTTCATTAATAGCATCATCAGCATCTCGGCCTATAGCTGCCCACTGCAGACCACAGGCCGGTCCGACCTGCCTGTCGCTAAGTCGTCGGTTAACCTAGTGTCATAATTAAAATAATAATAATTAATTAGTAGGATAGATATTTATCGAAAAAAATTGGGTTTGACCAAAATGTGAATAAGACGGTATTTGTCGTCCCCCAACCCCACGGCTTCACGGAGCACGGTATTGTGTGTTGTAGTGAGGCCGGGCGCTGCTGACCTGCTGTCGTTCGCTGTAGAGGCGCTGCAGCTCGGCCAGCTCGGCCGCCAGCCGCGCGTGCGTGCGGGCCGGCGCCGCGCCCGCCCCCGCCCCCGCGCCCGCGCACGCCGCCACCGCGCGCTCCGCCTCCGCCAGCAGCTCGCGCGCGCGCTGTGGAGCACCAGACGCGTTGGAGCACGGAGCCCCGCCGCCCCGCCCGCCGCGGCGCCCGGGGAGGGCGGGGCGGCGGGGCACAAGTACGTACTGTTTACATACGGGCAACTAACGGGACAAACTCAAGCCCATTCCCTTGCAGCTTCGTCCGGCCATAGACATTTTTTTTCAATTAAATAAACTATAATAGGCAGGCTAGCTGAATAAAATTACGATTTTTTATTGAAAAATAATCTGTTGTTAGAAACATTATTAATTATATGTTTAGCTTTGGTTCGTCTACATATGTAGTTATCATTGGCTTTATTGGAACAGATACTTTAACCTGTATTTTTATTTAGTCTGCACGACTCAAATGTCAACTTTATGGATTTATTGATAACCTCAAAACAATACTCTAAGTTCAGCTCAAAGCGGGAGCAGTTATTTAATTAATGAGCGTAACACTGGTGACCCGAGCTCCATGACATCGGTTATAGGTTCTCCAGGCAACGGTTTCACTTTCTTTCTGCTGTTCATTATGTCATCACAATTTGAAAACGTTGACAATTTCAATTATTATCACATAAATACAGTGAGTATTTACGAAATATTTAGCGTGTTTCTTAAATTAGTCTACATATGAAATAGTTATTATCAAGGTCGGTTGTCGGCGCGTACGTACGGCGAGCGCGTCCTCCTGCAGCGGGAACTGGTCGTACGGGCGCGCGTGCAGCGGCGCCGCGCGCAGGCCGCAGCGGGCGCGGGCCAGCGCCGAGCGGGCGCGCTGCTCCTCCTGGGAACGGAACTGGATGAAGCAACGGCGCGGGCGGAGGAGCTCAAGCTTCATGGATCATAAACAAGTATTACTAAAGAAGAATCACTGCAAGAATGCAACTACGAGAATGACAACTGACCGGCTTCTTCTGCTCGCTGGGAAGCAGCGCCGCGTGGTGCTGGTCCCGGGCCCGGCGCCAGGCCGCCAGCGCGTCCGCCGCGCTCTTCTCCGGGTACCCGACGTGCTCCGCCTTCAACTCCTGGCACAGCTCCTGCAGCCGCTCCGCGTCGGCTTCCCGGTCCCACATCTGCTCCTTCAGCGCGTCCACGTCGCAAGTGTCCGGCCGGGCCTCGCGCTCCCGCAGCCAGGCCTGCAGCGCGTCCAGCAGCTTGTGCAGCTCCGCCACGTCGTCCTCGGCCCGCAGGGCTTGGTTGCGTTTCGTTTCTATCTCCGCCATCACGATGGACCACTTGTTGCGAAGTTTGTCCTTAAACAGAAAACAACGCCCGGTGTGAGACAACAAAACCCTAATAAATTATATATTTTTGAGGTGTTTGTTAAGTTGCGTTATAGTTGTCGGGTGTACCGGCAGTACCTGGTAGTGCGTCTGCAGGTAGTCGGCCAGCAGCGCGTCGTCCCGGTGCGTGCGGAACACCAGCGAGTCGCCGCGGGAGATGAGCTCCGCCGCCTCGGGGGCCAGCTGCGCCAGCTGGTTCTTCAGGATCTGCGCCGGGATTCAATTGACAACTGTTAGCTGACTATACTATTCAAGTTCCAGAGAGCGATCAAGTCGAGGCAGGACAGGGAGCGGGTACCTCCAGTCTCTTGGCGGGGTCTCGCTCGGAGTGCACGCCGGCCACCGTCAGCAGCGTGACGTCACAGCGCCGGAGTGCGGCCCGCGCCTCCGCCGAGAACTGAGCCAGCTCCGGCGAGCCCTGCACCGCCGCCTCCGAAACACTCTCCGCCGAGCCGTCCGTCGAGCCGTCGGTCGAGCCGTCGGTCGAGCCGTCGGTCGAGCCGTCCGCCGAGCCGTCCGCCGCGCCGTCCGCCGCACTCCCCGCCGAGCGCGGCGACGGCGGTGGACTCGGCGTCAACTGTTAACCGTACCGTCATATAAACCTCAATAGGAATGTGAAATTAATATTAAGTCTAAATTTTAGTGTAAACGACCGCGGCGGCAATTAAGTTTATTTGGCTTTATCTTTAGAAAGGCAAAATTGAAAAATACTATAAATTGTAAAAACTAATCAGAAATAAATGTATTTGACAGAAGAAAATAAGTCGACTTTACACACATTGAACATTTTTATAGGTTTCTTCTTATAACACTAAAAACTGTTGTTTAATGTATTTTCTAAGGAGTTCAAGTCGCCCCGTTGCGGCGTTGGATTAATTCGAACGTGTTGAGTTCGGCTGCGGGCGCGCTTCATGCGACTGCGCTACCTCAGTTGCCTTTCAAAAGCTGAGTTACATGTCTTGCCGCTGTTAGCGTCCAAACTTAATGAACTTTCCAAAGGCATTGTCAGTAGAAATTAATTCAATCAAACACAAATTCAAAAATGTTAATAAATTCAGTAGTTTGAATATAGTGAAAATATATGAAAATCCAACAAAAAAACATTAAGAAACTTTGTCCACAGGATTTACTGATACTTGGAGTCGGCGTGCACAACAGTTACAACCAAAGAAATGAGACCGTTTTTCTATTCCTTTAGATTTGTGCAGAGTTGAGCTGTAATGGATTATTAGAATTCAGCGTGAAATCGAGAAACGTACCTGGACATCTTCGGTCTTTTGATATTTTTCAGTCTTCAATCTCTCCTTGCTGACGGGTATGTGGGACTTGACCGACAGCTGTGGCGGCGGGCTGGGCAGCTCCCGGTCCGCTCCCGACGGTTTGGGCGACATGGCCACCACCTGAACCTGCTTCTTTTTCTCCTCTTGTTTGATCGGAGTCGAAGTGGACAACGGCTCCTTGTCACCAAACTCAGAAGCAGAAAGACGGGACTGAAAATTCAAGAAGTCATTCGGATCTTTGAAGATTACAAGTGTACCTTACTCTGTACCGTGCGAGCGATCGATTAGTATCGCGAGACGGACACGGGTCCACTTATCAATATGTTGTGTCGCACCCTAATCTTACTATACATATGCACCTATTCTTGTGTTTTAAATTTCATTACCACGCTGGTCATTACCTGCACAGTGTCTTCAACTTCAGAGTAAATTAGTTCCTCCGGATGGTTGTCAGCGGTCCCGAGCGGCGCGGGCTGGTCGCCGGGCCCGCGGCTGTGGGAGGGCGGCGCGGGTCGGTCGCCGGGCAGCACCTCGTCGAGAATCAAGTACTCGTTGACTTGATCTCGGTGAAGATTCTTGTGGTCCTCGATCCGCTTGACGGCAAGTTCGTAAACTAGAGGATGCTCAGCGGGTTCTTCGTCCAGCGGTGTCGGCGGGGGAGTGCTCGTGTACCCGTCTCGTTCCCCTTTCTCCGTATTGGGTATGAGGTCGGGAACGTCTTCCACTTTCATAGTTTTGATGCTTTCTTCGTTAAAACTTTTCTTCCGTTTGAGAATACCGAGGGTCGGCTCCATCCTCTGGTCAAGCGTCTTGACCTCGACGACGAAAGTCTTGGGTTCGGAACCGAGATGGACGGCATGGCGGTCGGCCTGCTCTTCTGCTTCCGACTCGTTCTCGGTGTCATATATGACGTCAACGGTCTCCGCGCTCTGCGGAATGAACTCTACGACAGCGTCCGTGGCCTCGAGCGGGCAGAGCTCTGCGGGCTCCGCGGGGCTGACCGTGGCTTTTACTATTTCAAGTTCTTTGACCGCCACCACGTGACACGGGGTTGACTTCATTTTGGGCGGCTGTGCCGTTTCTTCTTTGGGTTCAATTTTGTTTTTAGAAATCTGAGTGAAGAGTTCGCTGTCCTTAAGTAGATTAAATGTACTGCTGTCTTTGGTAGATGTGTCAAGAGTGTCAGGAGCGTGGGGAGCGTCAGGGGTGGAGGGCTGCGACCCCAGCAGCGAGCTCACGGAGCGACGGTCCATGGAGTCCACGGACATGGCGCTGCTCACGCTGTCCGACATCGGACTCTCCGACTTTGTCCTCGTTCGTTCGAGAGAGGACCCCCTGCTCCTGCTGCCCCCCTCTTTGATCTCTTTTTTAATGGGCGCCGGGCTCTTGAGCGCGAGCGGTATTTTAGACTTTTTAAATTCGGGCTTGTCGGCCTCGGGAGCGTCGGCGGGGCTCTCCAGCCGGCGCTTTATGGTATCGGTAACGTTCTCGTATGGAGGCGGCGCGGGCCCCGCCTGCAAGCACAAACCGAACTGTATCTGTGGCGGAGGAGGTTATTGTGTTACGGCACACGATATTTACAGCGTTAGTCCGAAGGCGGCCCTCCCAG